TATCTTTTTTCTCCTTCCAAAGACTACCTTCTACTGCATCTGTTCTCCTCTTCCAAAGACCACCTTCTCCTGTATCTGTTCTCCTCTTCCAAAGACCACCTTCTCCTGCATCTGTTCTCCTCTTCCAAAGACCACCTTCTACTGTATCTGTTCTCCTCTTCCAAAGACTACCCTCTACTGCATCTGTTCTTCTCTTCCAAATACCACCTTCTCCTGCATCTGTTCTCCTCTTCCAAAGACCACCTTCTCCTGCATCTGTTCTCCTTTTCCAAAGACCACCTTCTACTGTATCTGTTCTCCTCTTCCAAAGACCACCTTCTCCTGCATCTGTTCTCCACTTCCAAAGACCACCTTCTCCTGCATCTGTTCTCCTCTTCCAAAGACCACCTTCTACTGTATCTGTTCTCCTCTTCCAAAGACCACCTTCTACTGTATCTGTTCTCCTCTTCCAAAGACTACCCTCTACTGCATCTGTTCTGTTATTTCAAAGCTCACCCTCTAGTGTATCTATTCTCCTCCTCCAAAGACTACCTTCTACTGCATCTGTTCTTCTCTTCCAAAGACCACCCTCTACTGTACCAATTCTCTTCTTACAAAGTCCCCCTCTAATGCAACCATCCTCTTCTTCCTAAGTCCCCTTGGATTGCACCTGTTCTCTTACAGAATCCTTCTTTTACTGCATTTGGCTTTCTCTCCCAGATTCTCCCCTGTAGTCTCCCTGTTTTCCTCTTCCAAAGACCTCCCACTACTGCATCTATTCTCCTCTTCTGAATTTCCCCCTGTACTGTACCCGTTCTCTTTCTTCAAACTCCCCCTCTACTGCAAATGTTCTCTTCTTCCAAAGTCCCCCTGTACTGCATCAGTTCTCTCTTTCCAAAGTCCCTTTGTGCAGCACCTGTTCCCCTCTTAGCTCCCCTGTAGTCTCCCTGTTCTCCTCTTCCAAAGACCACCCACTACAGCATCTATTCTCCTCTTACAGAATCTCTCATGTACTGCACCTGTTCTTCTTTTCCAGATTCCGCCTGTGCTGCATCAATTCCTCTCTTCCAGAGTCCCCCTGACCTGCTTCAGTTGTCATCTTCCAAAGTCCTCCATATACTGCACGTCTTTCTGAGCTGTAGTGCTCCTCTCCTTCCTATACAGTATCCTTCCCATCCCGTACCTTTAATTCCCCTCCTGCCTTCACCCCACAGTACATGTCTCATTTCTCTGAAGCAAGATACCTAGCACAGTGACAACAGCAAAAATAAAAATAATTCACTAGCAAAGTATATCTAAACCCATAAACATAAAATATTTTAACATCTTAACAGTCCTTAGATATGTTGGTTCCTTTAGTTTCCTTTTATCAGTTTTTCCCCCTATGTTTTCACCCGGTGATCCTGTAAATACAAACACTTCCTGTTCCTGGGCACTAGGCCTTTTCAGCCATGGCTGTCACACAGACTGGACTTGTCTGCCTGTGTGACAACTCCCTGAACTTCCTGTCCAGTACAAGATCACAAAGGACAGAGCAGTCTCCAGCAGCTGTCAATCTACTAAACTGGAGGAGGGAGGAAGAAGGAGCGGGGAGCAGGGAAGTGGTTTATCTTTTTGAGCTGTGCATGTGTGTTTGTAGAGACTCAGCTTACTAGCACACACAAGGGTGGGTCCAGAGGCCCCTGTATAAGAAAGAAGCCACCCTAAACAGGATATCAGGACCCGCACTCATGGAACCAGCTGATTCTGCAGGAATCTAAAACTTTTAATGATCAAGAAGTAGCATCTATTGTAAGTGATTTCATCCGCATTTGAAATAGCTTAAAAACATTTTGACTTTAATATCAATGTAATGAATACAAAGCTGCAAGAATTTGCACCTTTGATAACTATCTAGAGTTCATTTGAATACTGTGACAGATTATTATTATTATTTTTGCTTTTGGCCATGTATCTGCTTTAACTGTCTTCCACCAACAAACTCTGCCTATTGTTGTAATTCCGCATGAATGTGTTAGAGGCATTAGGCCGTAACCTTCTTTGTACCTGGGACCAATAATAGTCTTGAATTTGGAATACATAATTAAACAAATGAAACAAAAGCTCATTTACCTAGAGCCTGCTCTATTATCACAATTATTTCAGAGTAACACTGCAACATGCCAAGCACAACGTAAGTAGATGTTCTGACATCATTGGAAGTTCATTCTTCTCTCGATTATGGAACAATTACAGGACTTTCTGGAGATGAACAAGAGTTCTGTGATGACATTTATCTTCACAGGGCTCACAGAGAAAACTGAACTCAACATTCTGCTATTTATTATATTTCTGCACATTTATGTTACCACTGTGGTTGGCAATGTTGGCATCATTGTTTTAAGCATAACGGACAAACACTTACGCAAGCCCATGTACTTGTTTCTGCGTAATCTATCTTTTGTGGACATCGTGTATTCTTCAGCAGTCACCCCTAAAATGTTGAGGGACTTTTTAAGTGAAACCAAGGCCATCTCTTTTTTTGGCTGTGTTGTTCAGATGTTTGTCTTTGTGTTCTCTGCAACCAGTGAACTTCTTCTTCTGGGAATCATGGCCTATGATCGATATGTGGCCATCTGCAGTCCGTTGTTGTACGAAGCTCTCATGAGCAGCATGCTGTGTCTCTGGATGTTGGTTGCTGCTTATTGTGGAGGTTTCGCAAATGCTCTGGTGCAAACAGTTTCTGCATTCTGTCTCAGCTTCTGCAGATCCAACATTATTGATCATTTCTTCTGTGACCTTCCACCACTCTTCAAGCTGTCCTGTTCTGATATATCCATGAACATAGCATTTCAGATGATTTTAGGTGGCCTGATCTCAACCAGCAGCATCATACTTATCCTTTTCTCATATACCAACATTGTCCTGGCCATTTTGAAGATACAGTCAGTCAAGGGTAGATACAAGGCTTTCAAAACATGTGCTTCTCATATGACTGCTGTCAGTGTCTTTTATGGGACTATCTTCTTTATGTATCTCCGTCCATCCTCTAGCTATGCCCCCCAGAAAGACCGTGTAGCTTCAGTTTTCTACACTATACTAATACCAATGTTAAATCCCCTGATATATAGCCTTAGGAATACGGAGGTTAAACATGCTTTGAAGAGTTCTTTTAAATGTTTTAAAAGACATTAGGCTTTAAAAAAAACACTGATGACACTAGGGAACATTATCCCCATTTGTTTGCATGGAAATGTTTTCTAGCTTCTTCCTTAGAAAGTTAGAAACCATCTTCCTAACTGCTTCCTTAAGAACCCTCTTCCTAGATTTGTCCTTGAATAACCTCATTCTGATTACTTCCTTTGGAACTCTTTTCTAGATCCTTCTTTAGAGATCCTCTTGGTAGCTTCTTACTTAGAAACTCTCTTCTAGCCACTTCCTTAAAGGGGAACTATGAGGTGAGTGCTTTTCACTCACCTCATAGTTCTAGCCGACCTGTGACAATGAGACTGTCACAGGTCGGCTCAGTAGATCGGGCGGTGAGCGAACACATACCGGCGTTCGCTCACCTCTCAATCTTGTCGCGACTCTCTGCCGTGACAGGGTAGGGGCTGGATTCCCCCCTCCCCGCTCCGATCCTCCAGCCCTGACTGGCGGAACGGACGAGGCAGGGGGCGGGTACAGCTGGCTCTGCCTCTAGATAGGCAGAGCCAGCTTTCAGTCACGCAGCTGGGCGGATCCAGACATAATTGTCGGGATCCGCTTCAGCTGCAGCGTTTCAGAATACCGCAAGCTACAGCTCGCGGTATACTGAGCCTAGGGTGACGGGAGGACGCTAGTTTGTGTCCTCCCGTTACCCTAAGGAGAACTATGGGGAAAAGCCCTAACCCCATAGTTCTCCATTAGCATATAGTTATTATTATATATAGCATGTGTTGTGGACTGTGCTCCCATTCTAATAGATGCCTAATGGGTGAAGTATCTCTACCCAGGACCACCAGCCTAACACCAGCCCTGGATCCAATGGTTTCAGTACTTCCTGAACATTCTCATTCCAAAACAGGCACTTCCCAAAGTACTCCCCCAGGTGATTAGAGGCCTCACCCCAAACTTAGTCAAAAAACTACACAATATACAACCTGGGTTGTGCAGGGTTTTTTTTGGGGGGTACTCATATAGTTATAATTCGTACAATTTTGTTGATGTTCATATAAAAGATTTATTACATAATTTTAAGTATTAAAAAACTGAATCACTATGGATAATAAGCTGTAACACTCAGATTAGGTCCCTCCATGATACTTGACCCCTAGGTAAGTGGCTGTACAATTCAATCATACTAAGAACAAATGTATATAGATGAATGGAAACATGTAAAACTGGAAAATATGATTTTACAAATGTATTATGAAATGGCTTATAAACATGTTGATGAACAATGTATCATGTATTTACAAATAGATTTATACCGATCCCCCTGAAGAAGCCTATGAGCGTAACGCATAGGGGACTAACAAAGCAATACAACACTGCATATGAAAATCAAGGAATTATGAATATACATAGTGAAATATGAATTATATACAAAATATTATGAAATGTGAAAAGAAGTAATAATTTTAGGGTTATAAGAATCATGTGTATATATATATATGAGCATTGTTTTTAATACTTATAATTATGTAATAAATCTTTTATATGAACATCAACAAAATTGTACGAATTATAACTATATGAGTACCCTCAAAAAAAACCCTGCACAACCCAGGTTGTATATTGTGTAGTTTTTTGACTTCCTGAACATTGGTTCAGAACAAATATGAACATCCAAAGTTCTGACTTCCTAACCTAAAACAATTTCTAGATAGAAAAAGGTACACTTGTCTCTCCCCTGACAGGTAGAGAAGCATGGATAAACATGTATGGTCTCAAGGGGCTGTTGTTAAATCATTTCTGTGCCCCCATACATGGCTGCTGCTCTGTGCCCCCACTCTCTCTATCCCCTTATGTGGCACTATTCATTGCTTCTGTCACTCTTCATACAATGCTGCCCACATCAAGTGCCGAATACAATCCTTCCATTATAAAGTACTGTCCTCATAGAGCCGGTTACCCATAGCAGGTGCCATGCATCAATCCACCTACTTAAAAACAAAAGCAATTGTAGCCCTGTTATGGGATCAGCTCCTTTAAGAGAAAAGATATTGCAGCTGCAGGTGGAGCCAGAGAGCACAGCTTTGTGGGTATTGTGGACACAGCCACTGAGGAATTAAAATGAAAATGGATACTTAAACTACAGTTCCCAGAGTGCTACAGGGAGAAGGGAAGTAAACTCTGGGGGCTAAAGGTTGCTGGCCTGAGTCTGTTGTGAGGAGACAGGGAGGCCAGACTGCTGTTGCTTGTGTTGTGCAGCCAGCTTGTGGAGAGACTGTGCTCACTTGTCACACGTGCAGTCCTGAAGTGACATCTGCTGCACAGAGTAAATCGCTGTTTGTTCCTGTCTGGAAGAGGATCCTCTGGGGCTGTGAGTGAGGTGCCATCCTGCTGAGAGGCCATTGTGGGCGGCGACTCGGCCCGGACGGACGCCAAATCTGATGACCAGAACCCCTGATGACATCAGACTTCAGCTCCTATATACAGTTCTTCATCACAGAAGATAATTGCTGACATCCCTGCCAGCTACAGACGGACATCTCCCTCCGTGTATGGGTGAGAGGCCTCCGGCCTGTTGTCATTACCAGTACACACAGATTTTCACCGTTTGTATTGGGCCCCAACGTTGGCTAGCTGAAGAAACTACCACTGGCCAGTGGGTTAGGTACCCGGGTACATTGGGACTAAGTTTATATATACAGTTTGATTACTGTCCAACAAGTTCATAGTTAGAATAACCGCATTTACAGATCATCACTGTTATGCTGATGTCTCATATACAGTCTCTGTGTTATGCTGTGTAGAGATAAATGTTGATGTTGTATACTGCTATTCAGATTATTATATACAGTAAATAGTTATTTAAAATCTCACAAGGTGTGCTGGTGTGCTGTGGATTCATTGTTTGTGGTGTGTCACAGAGGTGATACAGAAGACCCGATCATCCAGCGGCTCCTTCGGGGGTGAGCGCTACACAATTTTGTCACTTGCCATGGAAAGAGCGGGGAAGGGATAGAATCTCACTATTTATCCTGGGGACTATTGCCACCAGGGGAGAAAAAGGGGGGATTAAACATTTTTATTGTTGTGACCTAAATTCAGTCAGAAGAAATTGGGACAGTATTTCCAGTAAATATAGGTGGATTTTCTCCTTAGTTTGGGGAGATCTTCACATATGTCCTGGAAATGCATACAAATGACCCGAATGTGAACACAGATTTAAAAACCGAATCCTGGTTCTAGTACTTCTCATTTATGCCTAACCCAAACAAACAAAATATTTCTTATTTGATATGTGTTTGCTTTAGCACACTGATGTGCAGCTCAAATGTATGTTGGCCATTTTGTATGTCATCCTTGATATCACGTTCTTCAGACGATTTTTAAATTGTTTTGGTTTAGATCACTTACTGTGCATGTTATTGCTTCACACATGATTAATTGCTAGACAGTGGAAAGACACGGGACTTGTGCCTTCCCTACCCTTTCCTTTAGAATAGACTCCAAAAGAAGAGTCAGTAAAGCTGGGTATACATGGTTATATTTTCTTCATTCAACCTGCAGGCCAAATTAAGCTCATATATGAAGCTCATATATGAGATTCCTCCACTGACCCTTACACGCGTGAATGGAGGAATCTCCTGCTCTTTTCCATTATATTCTGACAGCGGCCGCTGGATGCTGTCAGAATACCCGAACAATAGCTGACTGGCCAAGAATTTTAAAGCCTGCTGCTTCGATGAACTGATCAAGGGATGCCGAGTGGAAAGGTGCCGACAGGGGCACCCTCAGAGTGGTTCATCTTGAGCCAGACAGAATTTGCACAGTGTATAACCTACTTAAGTCTTTATATAATTTTGAAAATTAGGAGTTAGTCAGAAAGAACTGATTTGTGAAGGAAAGAGGCAGAGTGTTTAGTAAAGTGAGACAGTGTTGTCATGCCCAGCGATGTGGAAAATAGAGGTAGGCAAAGGGAAATTTGAGGGGAACTTGTATTTTACAACAAGGACTGTTTCCACAGACCTATTTATCAATCATTCAAGCTAAAAAAAGGTACTTTTATTACACAATAAAATGGTGTCCTGTTTTATCAGCTTGGTATGCTATTACTATTTCATTTATGGTTGTAGCTGCTATTAGTATACGCTACTTGTAAAGTGTAATGTTTTGTATATAGACCATAGAAAGAAGGAGAAAACAGAAACCAGTCCCCCTCTTTCCTACTTTTACCCATCACATGCTACCATTAAGGAAGCCACCCCCTCCATGTTCTATCTTACTCCACCACTCCTTCTTTCGCACACCCCATGCTGTGTTTTTCACAATACACAAATCCTACACCTTTCTGATCTATTTTCTCCAGGATGTCTCCTTCTGTATCCTCCATGGTGCCATAGGTAGAAGGAGAGAGTGGACTCCCTGCTTTATCCTTTTCTAACAATCCCACTTCCGATTGCCCTATGCAACCATTGAAAGAAGGAGAAAACAGAAACCTTAGCTTAGTTACTGCAATAGTTGTCTTTTTTCAGGTTCAAATTATTTTCAAAAAGAACAGAGAATTCCAGTTGATCTTGCCAGAAATACACTGTACTTGTAGCTTCCTGAACTAAAGCATAAAACAATGCTATGTAAACTACTTATGCCCCCATCCTTACATGTAATGGAGATGAAGAGAAAAAGACATGTTCAAGGTGGAAACCTTGGCTCCTGCCATAGGTACAGGTGAGGAGTGGACGTAGCTACCCAGACACAGGAAAGGTATTATTGATAGGATCACATGGTGAAAATAAATAAAATAATACATTTTTAATTTTGGATTTAGATGGTGCTCTAAGTTCCATCAGTAAATAGTTTTATTCATTTATTTATTTATAATGGCAGAGAGGGGAACACAAGGTTTTCTGTCTTCCCAAACAATGAAATACACATATTAATACACAAAAGAGGACTGTGTTTATATTATGAAATATTTAAAGTACAATAGGTTTAGATTAAAAAGAAATAACATAACTAGATACTAGGGGTTGGTACCCCATCCGAAAATAATACTATGGAGAAAAAAGAAAGAGTTCAGAAGTGAACCTTGCCTGACTTTGCAGTGAAATGTGTTGAGGCTTGTCTCACCACTTGACTATACCAACAAACTGATACCATGCAATAATGATGGACTGAATTTGTATGCACAAAACATAGGTGAGCACAAATATATCCATATTGGTAATAGGCCAAGGTGGTTATTGAGATATCCTAACAGATGTTTGTTAATGAAACTGTATGTATGTGATTTTTATGTATGACTTCATATTTTAAAGTGATAAGATAAATAGTAAATAGTTTTAATAAAGATAAATAGTTTTTTAATATATATATATATTAAACAGTGGCATAGCAAAAGTCATAGCAGCCCATGCCACTGCTGTGGGGCCTGGGGGTGGAAAGGGGCCTCATTAGCAGGGCTCTTGCAGCAATTGTGTGCATGTTCAGATAATACACATTCAATACTGTATCATTAAAGCCCAACTCCGAGCAGGATTACCTTCACAGGTGTAAAGCAGGCCGAATTCCTCTGTAGGGCCTCGCTGTAATGCAGATTAAGTCCTACATATCATTTGGTCTATATGGGAGAGGAAGTCCCCCTCTCGTTGTACTTCCTTGCTGCTGTGGCTGTAAGTGATGTAGATGTCATAGATCTTAGAGCTGTGGTCACGTCTTGACCCCACCTCTCCTCCTGACCATTCACAAAACACACAGCCCCAGGATGCAGAAATATGTCTGCATGAAAGTGAGGTCCTCCCAACCTTTATTTTGTGATAAAGAAAGACTTTTCAAATTATTTATACATTTTTGGGATGTGTTGATTTACCTATAAAGATAAACGTGAAGGGAAAACTCTCCCCAATTGTTACATTGATTAGCAACTCACGGGATAGCTTCAAGAAGAAAAGCCGGCCTGCCGGGAACATGCAGAAACTCAGGCAAGTTTAAATAATATGGGCTTGTAGCCCCCTTTTTATTGGGTTTTGAACAGTAGAACCATCTGTGTTACCTTGAATTATCTCCAAAAATCAGATAATAATGTCACCTCTACCGCTCCAAGCTCGCTTCCATGATGGACTACAATCTCACGTTTAGTTTACTAATTTGTATTGAAGTTATAGTCTGTTACGGGAGCGAGCTTGGAGCGATGGGTACTTTACAACACACACAGGGACCATTTGGAACAAAAGTATCCCCCTCCAGAAGGAAGGACAGTGTCAGCACCAATTCAGAGATGATTTCAGGATCTACAGCCGAGTGATACACAAATAAGATACATTGTTGTTAATAGATAAGGTATTTTAATGTATTTTTAAGATTAAACTCCCCAGTTTAGTGTCACTTTAATTTAGTATTCTTGACAATTTACACTGTTCATTCTTACCAAAAAGCAAGCTTTCAAGTAAAATAAGGAGGTCCCTCTTAAGGGAAACCAGGATTTGGGCATAGTCCAACGCCTAAACTGACACTACTAAAGCTGCTCTTCTTCACATCATCAAGACTTAAAGGAGAACTATGAGGTGAGTGATTTTCACTCAGCCTCATAATCTGAGCTGACCTGTGACAATGAAAAACTGTCTCAGGTCGGCTCAGTAGATTGGGAAGTGAGGGAACACATACCGGCGCTCGCTCACTTCCGCTCACTTCTCGATCTGGTGCCAGCAGAGAGCCGTGACAGGGGAAGGACTGGATTCCCCCCTCCCCTGTCCGATCCTCCAGCGCTGACTGGTGGAACGGACAGGGGAGGGGGCTGGTACAGCTGGCTCTGCCTCTAGATAGGCAGAGCCAGCTGTCACTCACACAGCTGGGTGGACCCAGACATAATTGTCGGGATCCGTTCCCGGCTGCGGTGTCTCAGAATACCGCAAGCTGTAGTTTGTGATATACTGAGCTTTGGGTGATGGGAGGACGCTAGTTTGTGTCCTACCGTTACCCTTAGGAGAACTATGAGGAAAAGCCCTAACCCCATAGTTCTCCTTTAAGATGTTCCTCAGATGCAGTGTCACCCACTACCAAAACATTCAAGGTTTTATTGGAAAAAAAACTTTAATTGCAATTATTTCAAAATGATCATGCATTGTGTCTAGCACAGATGAAAGCTCTTGTTTTCATTTGGTAGATTTGATGGTGAGATGGCCTCTTTAGTGGATAAAACACTAAGGTTTGTTTAAACATCTTGCCTTCTTATTAGATAGATAAAGGACATTTCTGTTTTTTTTGGAAAGGAACAAGAATACAAATATGAACAAGACTTCTGTGTTGGAATTTGTCTTCGCAGGGCTTACTGACAGGAATGAGCTCAACGTTCCATTGTTCATCATATTTCTGCATGTTTACATCACAACTATAGTGGGCAATGTTGGCATCATTATTATAATTGTGGTGGACAGACATCTTCACAGGCCCATGTACTTGTTTCTGAGCAATCTTTCCTTTGTGGATCTCACGTATTCTTCAGCTGTCACCCCTACAATGCTGAGGGACTTGTTAAGTGAAAATAAGGTCATCTCATTCGCTGGCTGTGCCATACAGATGTTCATCTTTGTGTCCTTTGCTACAATTGAATGTCTTTTTCTTGGGATCATGGCCTATGATCGCTATGGAGCCATCTGTTGTCCTCTTCTCTATGGAATTCTCATGAGCAGAATTTTGTGTCTCTGGATGGTGGTTGCTGCCTATTTTGTAGGCTTTCTGACTGCTCTTGTTCACACCGTTTCCGTGTTTCTTCTCAGCTTCTGCAGATCAAACGTTATTGACCATTTCTTCTGTGACCTCCCACCACTTTATAAGTTGTCCTGTTCTGATACATCCGTGAACTTGGTTGTTTTGATCATTTTAGGTAGTATGGTTTCCATGAGCTGCTTCATACTCATTATTTTCTCGTATACCAACATTGTCCTGGCTATTCTGAGAATTAGGTCAACCCAGGGTAGCTACAAAGCTTTTAAAGTGACATTAAACACTCAGATTTTTTAACATAAACCAATACTGTAATGTGCGCCTTACTGTAATCCATGGTAGTTTTCTTTCTCTTTGCTGCTCTTCCTTTTAAATCTGTATCTCTTCTCATGCTGGAGGAGAACTTCGCTTTGCAGCTGAGTGCCTCTTCCTGTAGTGCTGGCTCAGGTTGCAAATCTACACACAGACACCATCAGGTCTATTCACAAAAGGGTGAAGAGTTTGGAGAAGGCAGGAGAAGTGAATAATCTAGGACAACATAGCTGAACTGGAAAGTGAGCTGAATTTTTTCCAAATCGGCTATTTTGGCCTAGATTGTTCACTTCTCCAACCTTCTCCAAACTCTTCACCCTTTTGTGAATAGACCTGATGGTGTCTGTGTGTAGATTTGCAACCTGAGCCAGCACTACAGGAAGAGGCACTCAGCTGCAAAGCGAAGTTCTCCTCCAGCATGAGAAGAGATACGGATTTAAAAGGAAGAGCAGCAAAGAGAAAGAAAACTACCATGGATTACAGTAAGGCGCACATTACAGTATTGGTTTATGTTAAAAAATCTGAGGGTTTAATGCCACTTTAACACCTGCACTTCGCATATGACTGCTGTCAGTGTCTTCTATGGGGCTATCTTCTTTATGTATCTTCGTCCATCCTCTAGCTATGTCTTACAGCAAGACCGTGTGGCATCAGTCTTTTACAGCATTCTAATAGCTCTGTTAAATCCTTTTATATATAGTCTTTGGAACGCTGAGGTGAAAGCTGCTTTGAAGAGTTTGTTGAAATATTTTCAAAAATAACTAATGGTAAAAATATATATTGTCCCGGGATAGCCTACCCCAGTGAACTTGCTTGCTGCTTAACAGGAACTTTCATACACCATCTACTTTTCCTTGTACTGGTTTATGTTTTCACCGCAGAGCATCTGCATCTCTCAACTCGATCACAAATCAAAAAACCAAGGTGCTTTTTCAGGGAATGACTGGGCCAGTCCAAATGAGATATGTTGGTGGCTCTAAGTGGAGATGCTTCACCTTTTGGACATCGATTACAGCAGGACCCACTGTGATTGAAACATGTTTTTTCTCTCTTTTCCTTTATTGTTATACACTGAGTGGCCAGATTATTATGACCACCTGACGTTTGTAGGCAAATTAGCTATAATTTTGCGCTGAAGTTGCTAGAGGGCCAGACCATTATAAATAGGGAAGCAGGTTGTTTACCACGACAGTAGAAGTGATTTGTTTCTGAAGATACGGGGAAACAACGCGATTTAACAGCCTTTGAACGTGGGATGATTGTTGGCGCTCGGAGCCATGGAGCGAGTATCAGCAAAACAGCAGAATTTGTTAAATGTTCACGAGCAGCTGTTGTTAAAGTGTTTAAAGACCGGACTGTCAGCCGAACATCTGGGTCTGAACGTGCGAATTGTGGGCGTCAGCGACTAGTCAATGTTAGGGCAGAACGGAGTGTGGCAAGACTGGTACAAGACAACAGAAGGGCAACAGTGCATTGTCAGATTCCTCGCATCACCTTTCAACATCTCGTGGAGTCACAAGGTGGCCCAACAAAGTCATCTCGTGGAGTCATCTCGTGGCCCAACGAAGTACTGATGGGGTGGTCATAATAATCTGGCCACTCAGTGTATGAGTTAAGGCCACCTGGTAGTCGTTAATGAAATATTTGTATACTTAATACGGGAAAGAGGATAGTGTGGTTGAGTTAAATGTATTGTCTTTATTAGTGTCTTTTTCTTTTTTTTTGTGAAAAAAAATCAATAAAAATTGAATATTAAAAAAAAAAAGAAACATGTTGGGCATAATATAGCTACCTGACCACCATTCAGACCTGCAATCACAGCACCTGGCGTTCTTCCAGCACCAACTTCCTTTGCGGCTCTGAGATGTCATGTGACTAAATACTGAATGCTGTAAAGGAAGATGTGGCAATGTATGTCACAACAACCATGTCCTTTTGGAACACTTATTTTTCATCATGACCACCAATCACCATGGTACACTTTGTATGGTACACATTTTTAGCCTAAAGAAGTCAGTCCCTGCCATAAACGGGACAATTATTTGAGTTTGCCCTCTATGTCAAATAATTGCAATGTTCCCCTGGGCTTGTTCCTCATTTAAGGACAGTGCTAAAGGACAGAAGGCAGAGCCTTGCAAATCATTCATTTATGTCCCATGATCAAATGTGAAAAATTGTTGTAAGCATTTATTAATAGAAACCTCAATAAACTCAGTTAAAAACTGTGCTGATATTTATGCTATGTTAGAGAATGCTGGGCCACATTCCTGAACAACCGAGTTTACTCAGGAAGGGTGATGGGCAAATTGTGTAAAATCCACTCCACTTGTTAAGCTCAAACTTTTTGGCAATTAAAACATATACTGCAGAATTCACTCAAGGTTTTTTTTATTTGATTGGGGGTAGGAATAGTCTCTCTTGCTGGCTATCATATGCCTTGCACCCCTTTTGGACCCGTTCATGTCTGTGCAGAGGAGACCAACTGACAATATAGGGGGACGTTTGTGCTTTACTTATATAAAGTCTTGCAGATTTGGTTGCCAAATTTTTGCCTGAAAATTCTGTTATGACCCCTTTCCCTTTCCCTTAAAAAGCAGGTGGGAATTCAACTCTAAAAATAATGGTGCTGAAGTGAGTGCCACTGAGCAAAATGTGAAGGTTTTTTTGGGGCACAGTGGAATATAAAGCATATATATAGATAGATATATATATCTATCTATATATATATATTAGGGATGTACCGATACTAGTATCAATGCCAATACCGAATATCTGTTAGTACTCGTACTCGTCCAAATATTTTGATACTTACCTCCGATACCTCCGATTGCACTATTCTTCCTATAGATTCATTAACACTGTTAACAGATTCCTTATTTGAATGGGTCACATCTTAAGTTTAATTAAATCTCAGTGGAGTGCTATTGTAAATGTACGACAAATGTTCAGAGCCACTGGGAACAAACCCCTGAGATAGGCTAACATATAAATATTATCCTATTGTAGTACGGATTGCTGTACTATATTGATTTTGTCATCTTTTGGAATATACAAGTAAGTCTAATTATTTATTTAATTGAGAAGGCAATTTCCCTTATTGTGTATTATATTTTAATTTCTGAAAATGGTGCAAAGCTAAATAGCAGAAAGTAAATATTTTATTAGTTGGATTGCTGAATAATAAAATAAGACACAGAGTGGGGATATACTGTATATGTCTATATAGGTAGGCTGAACCCCACCAAAATGTTGCATTGCTAGATTAGCTCCTGCTTCAAGACCTCTGATTAGCGAGATATGATCTTTCCTGTGAGAACGGTTTCATATTACAGTATGCAAGTATCAGTCACTTCACTTTGCGTGTACTTTTGGATATTTTGGGTAATCCGAGGGCGTGCTGCAAATAGTCCTCTTCAAGTGCCGGTTTCAAGGCTGTAAAACCACATTTATTCTTTGCAGAAAACAAATGAGCAAGCAGAAACTTTTTCCTCCCCGGGGTGAATTCAACCAAATAAACATAGGGGTTAGCAACAAAAAGAGAAAAAAAAACATAGGTGCCCTGATCTGTTTAGGTCAGGACATGGGGAATACAATACACAAAACAATTCAGACGGTCCCCAGCACACTTTCCAGTCTACTGTTTAAGGTAACTACTCAGATTAAAATGAGAGGCTATGGTTGCATATATTTGCAAATACAAGTTGTGGCCACACTGCCGCATCAAGGCACCTCTAATATGCGCAGTCCCTAACTCTAATTTTTTTAATTCCCAACTATGGCGCATGTACAGCAATGCACAAACAGAGAGCAGGCTTACCTGGAGGCAGACCTTTCCTCCGTAAAGCTATAGCAACACACTAGAAGCCTAGATATCACCTTTGGCAGCTGAAGACGTGTGTCTGCACCGAATGTCCAAAAGACCAAATTGCGTCTGCACCAAATCAAAAAAAGATACAATGGCAGCTGCTCTGATCTGTTCAAAAGTAGCACAAAAAAAAGATAGAGAGATAAATAAAAAAGGTACACATGGGCAGGGCAATATATAAAACAATATGAAGGGTTCTCAGCACACTTTTTGGCTTGCAAGCAAACAAAACCTAACAAAACAGTTTCAACGACTTGGAAGTTTTTGTTGCATACATTTGCAGATACATTCAGCTTTCTCCAAAGTCCCAAAACACTTCTCGGTTTAAAGTGACCTTTGTTGGAAATGCAACAGCATATGCTGATTATATTACTGGCTGTGTTTGTTCCTTTGAGCTGTAGATGGTGGTGTAGAGCAATGTTACTCTTTGTGCATGCTTATCTATGATACACAGGAAGCTGTTTTTTCTATCTATATGTTTTCCTCGCAATGCTATATGCAGAGGTAATATTCTCTAAGCAAGTGAAACTTAATTCAGCATTCCTCAAGAACTCAGTGCTTCATCTAAACAGATAACCAACAACCCTGTCAGATACATTAAAAATCCAAAACAGGTCTGTTTGTGAATAAGAGAGTAAATTCTTACCTTTGCCACTGCCTGCACCTCCAAAAAAATGTCCTGTGGTGATGTGAGGGTCGGCATGAGATAACAATAAGCCCGGAGGGGTACAAAGGTGATCAACACCCCCAGAAGTGTCTGTTTCCCACTGGACTTCAACAGAGGTAAAGGAAAGGTAAGCATATTCTTCTTTTTGCAAGTGGACCTTGTTTGTGAATGGGAATTTGGGGGTTTGGGAATGACATAAATCTAGTGAATCTGTATTTGAAAACAGATCTACATTCAGCATCATCCTTCATTGCTCTCAGATTTTCATGGATTGTATGGAAAGTAATTTTTACAGTTTTTAACCTAATTCTAATCACAGCTTGCAAAGCAGAGACTTGGA